TTAAAGCACTTTCAGCTACTAAATAATGTAATGAATCTGGCTATCATCAAGATTTTCTCCACTGACTCAGTTTGGAGTCACTAATGTAATGTCCTTAACCATTCACTTGTCTGCCTCTTCAATTTTCTTACAATAATGGACCCCATATCTCAATGTGAGTAGCTGATGTTTCATACTGGAGATGCCTGAGTAGGCACAGCAAAAGCCCATACTCGTGCTGCCTAAAAGTAATACAACTTAAAAGCAAACACATCCATCAAGGCAGGCTCTGTTGCTGACTTCAAGAACACGTCATAGTGGAAAATAGGTCAGCAAAATCACAAATGCCTGGGTTGCAATTCTGGTCCTATTCAGGACCTCAGCTTGCTCAGATGCAAAGTTAGGATGATGAAAATGAGAGATGTAAATAAAGCATTCAGCACAGTGCACACCATACACAGAAGTTCACAGATCATCCACCATAGCCACCAGGATGGGCTGGTCATTTCTCCTAGCTGTTCCATTGTTGCCTGATAATAATAGGACAAGTCACCTTTTCCTCCCCCTGCTTTCTAAATAGCTTTATTGAGATATAGCTTGCAGGATATAAAATACTCCTTTTAAATCTTTGATTCAGTGATTTTAATTTTATTCACAGAATGAGTGTCCATCACCACTATTTAATTCCTGGACATTTTCATTACCCATAAAGAAATACCATACCAGGAGTGGCCACTCCCCTGTTCCTGGCAACAACTAATTATTTTCCATTTCTATGGATCTGCCTATTCTGGAAACTTCATACAAATGGAATGATTATGTGGTTTGATGTCTGACTTCTTTCAACTAATGGTATTTTTAAGGTTCATCCATGTTTTAGCATACATCACTACTTCATTTCTTCTTATGGCTGAATAACAGTACCTTGTATGGACTGTTATATACTACATTATGTTTATCTATTCACAAGCAGTTTCCAGTTTGTGTTGTATGTATGCCCTTTGGGGCCATTATGAATAATGCTGCTATGAACATTCATGTACAAGATTTTGTGTGGACATTGTTTTCTTTCCTCTTGGGCACATAACTAAGAGTGGAATTACTGAGTCACATGGCTATTCTATTTTTAGTTTTATGAGGAAATGTGAGACTGTTTTCCAAAGCAGCTGTAGCACTTACATGACCAAATGCAGTATGTGAGGGTATCAACTTTTCTACCTCTTTATTAACACTTCTTATCTACATGCCTGCCTATAATCATCTTTAAGTATGGATGTGAAATACATTGTGTGGTGTTTTTCATTGGAATTTCGCTCATGATTACTGATGTCCAGTACCTTTAAATATGTTAACTGGCTGTCTATGTATCTTCTTTGGATATATCTCTATTCTGATCCTTTGCTTATTTTAATTTGGGCTATCTTTTATTTTTGAATTGTAAGATTTCTTTATGTATTCTAGATAGATTCAAGTCCCTTTCGAGAAATATGATTGGCTACATATTTTCTCCCATTCAATGAGTTCTCTTTTCATTTTATGGATGGAGAACTTTAAAAGCATAAAAAGTTTTAATCTGGATGATGTCATATTTATCAATTTTTTTCCTATAGTTTGCTTGTACTTATGGTGCCACATCTATGGATCCCTGGCCTAATTCATTATAAGAGTGTGCTCCCAGAATTTTATAGCTTTTAGATCTTACACTTAAACTGAGGATCCATTTTGAGTTAAATCTTAAATATGATGTGAGGTGGAGGTTCTACCTCATTCTTCTGCATTTGGATATCTGGTTGTCCCAGCACTATTTGCTGGAGACTATTCTTACTGCAATGAACTATCCTGTTATACCCATTCTTGAATCCATATCCACATTTCACTTCAAGTTCTGATCCTGTTAATTTTCCAGCTATCAAATCTACTTAAATCTGCAAATCTTTTAGGCAAATATAGGAATTTCTATACTTACTTTACTTTCACTTATATTTAGAAACATTTACCCAGTGCCTACTATGTACCAGGCAGAATTCCAGATGCTGAGATGTAATCATTGCCAATAAGTAACTAACAGTTCTTGGTAATGGTTATAAAGTATCTTGTACTTCTTGACAGCCATGGGTTCAAATTGTCAAAGATGCTGAAGACACAAATTAACCAGTTCTGTGTTGGAGATTCTGAAAGTGTCATAATCAAGAGGAGCATCTGAATGAGAAAAATGAACTTTCAGGGGAAAAAAGGGGTTCTTAAGTATTACAAGAAGACAGAAACAATGAGCACGAAAGTATGTAGTTGAGAAAAAGCTTGAAGTATCCAGGAAATAGATGTTTAAGCAGCAATATGGAGTAACAAATAAAGGTAACCCTCATAAGGACATCAGGGTTGTGTATTAAGGATCCCATGCATTACATACAGAATTTTAACCCTACTTCTACGCTGTGTATTCCCAAGTATAGCTCACAGCAAGAAGAGTCACACATAATTGCGGCAAGGTCTGTGGGGATAAAACACAGAATTGACTCAATAGGGACAAACTAATAATGGGTATTTCGCACAGATGTCCAGCCAGGAGGGGATTTTGTTTTTTAATTTTGTGATTCTTTCTTTCCACAACTGCATGACAACAATGTATTTTGCTCCTTAGATCTCTAGGTGATGACAAGTCTCCTAAAACTGTTTTTCCCTAAGACATTTAAAGTTGGTTCCACCCTCTTCAATTCTTTGAAGTGGGTATGCTTAAAGAAGATGTTGTACACACACTCTATGGGTTTCTCAATTTTCTTCACATGAATAACCTGTCACACACTTCGTTGCCAGATGTCACTAAAGACAGAGTCCAACCACTGAGGGGCACTGGGCTCTGCCTCCACCTTCTCAGCAGGGAGCCCAACCCTAATGGAGTTTAACACATACACACACACTTACAAACTGCTTCTTTCTTTTTATCATTTCAGAATCCAAATTATTCCATTTTTACTATTCTTCTAGTATTTCTAGTACTGTTCTCAGCTGGGAAAGTGTTTCACCATGCTTCCATCATCAGTGTTAAGAAAGTAAGTTTACAGATCTGCTGTCACTCTTTTCCATTTGGACTTTCTATGGTTTTTCACAATCAGAAATGCCACTATGGTCTAGGATGCTCTCTTTTTCCTAGGGCCTCTAAAAAATGTTTAGTACAATCACAGCAACACCACTTGCAAAAAAAAAAAAACCCGAAAACAAAAACAAAAACAAGAACCCCCAAAACACTGCAAAAGCATATCGCAGCTTCTCTCCACTAGCACGTTCACCTTTTAACTAGTACTCTTCAAATGAACCTTTAACATAAAAGGAGGTGGTATTTCATCATAATGGTAAAAACTGTATCTTGTTCAATGGAATGAAACACTTCCTCAAAATAAATGACTGGGAGAAATAATGGAATTCTACATTCCTTGTTCTTTTCTGTTAAGTGACTGTGACCCATCATCATGGGTCCAGGTGAAGGGCCTGCCCTGTTCTTTGCTCCCTCCAGTGATTCTTATTTACAAAGACTGGTATTTAACAAGTCATTTGTTTGCAACAATGAGGACTGGCCAACGTTCTGGCTACTTCCCCTGAAAAAAATACACTCAAAAAAAAAAAAAAAAAAAAAAACAGAGATGGCAAATTTGCTCACATGAAAGAATGAAATTAGAGTGCTACACTTTGGCTGAGACAGAGAAGGATAAATCTTATGATTCCTGCCTATATCTCAGCATTTTTTCCTTTGTAGCTGCCAATTCTTTTATCCTTGTAAAATCATTAATAACTGAAAATTATAGATATTTAAACCACTTTAGAAGTAGACAGAAGGAAGAATTTAACAATCTGGAAGGACATAATCCAAAAAATGTCAATGCAATGATTATCTTTTTTGGACAGTAAAATTATAAATATTTTCTTTTTTATAGTCTTCTGTCTTATCTGGGTTTTTTCCCCAATGCCTATAGGGTGCTCTTATAATTGAAAAAAAAAAAAAAAAGGCAAAGAGAGAGAAAGAGTTGGTTGGGTAGGGATTTGGAAAGGAAACTGTGTAGGGAGAAAACAGAGAGGTGTTCATGTTATACCAACCCTTAAGACATAAAACTACAGCATGTGTAGACATTCATACTCCCATCACCCTAAATACTTTATCCAATTATAAGAGTATATTTTATCCTTTAATATTTTTTTATCCTTCAACTTATCTCTGAAATTGCAATTTTTTTAAATAGCTAGTGATATTTTAAAGAAAACCAAATATGGAAGAGATTTAAGTATAAACAGTCAAAATTTCACATCACACTTAGTAATTCACCAAGCCCAGGAGGTGCGATGTTATGGAAAAACAGGCTCCCATAACAGAGGGTAGCACCTATTTATGTTAACAATGTCTCCTTTGAGGGCCTCCCCGGTGGTGCAGGTGGTTGAGCGCAGTGCTGTGAAGCTGTCCGCAGCCTCTGCAGTGCCGGTTCCATCCCCGCCGGCCGTGGAGCTTCACATGGCCCAGCAGACCTTTCCTGTCTCTCCCGCTACTCCCCTCAGCAGTATATTTCAGTGAGTCTGCCTGTTCTGTTCCCTATTCTGTCTCTGGTGAATCCTCTCACCCTCCCGCACATCTGGCCTGTACCCCAGTGCTTGCATAAATAAATAAATCTTAAAAAAAAAAAAATCTCTCCTTTGATAATTTCACTAATTAAGTATACAGATTTTTTCCTCCCTGAAATGTGGTACAAATGGAAGGAAATCTCTAAGAGAAGAAACTCTATGAAGGAATCACCATCAAATAGTTAGTGTGAAACCTACATTGGCTGAGGGCGACCAAGTAGCCCTGCTATGTTTTGCTCCCTCTGACTCTGGCATGCCAGCATGACCTAGGAGAGCCATATGGTAACACAAAATGATGGGTTCCCTAGAGTTATCCTAACAAAATTATCCTGGGAATAAGTTTTTGAAGTCTCAACATATATTGTCTTAGAACCATGACAGAGTCCATAGTGAGTGGAGAAGTTCACCAAATGGTTTACCTGTGAGATATAACCTGGAGGCACATGGATGGGAGGAATGGATCCATTGGGTGACATCATGGGAACTTCAGCAGGTCCTAAAAAAGATAAGAGTAAGATATTAATAGTTGAAGAAATCAACATATTCAAAATAATCACTAGCATTTTTAATATTAAAAACTGAAGAGAATAACTTTTTCTCTTCAATAATCAATACATCATGACTTGAAATTAGACCTGAAATCAAGGACAAAAGGAATTCTCCAGCTGTATGAGTCAAGGGGGAAAAATTTTTTAAAAAAAATTGAGGATCTTTACAAATATCTAATGATTCCCAAAGCCTCAAGTTACATAAACCATGGCTGCTTAGTTAAGAGTAGTGTAACAAAGTATGAGAAAAATTTTCCTTTTTTTTCCTATTAAAAGAATATACTATTAATAAATGTTTAAACAAATCAATTTTGAAATGAGCATATGTTTTCTGGTTTAAAAAACTCCTACAAAGTATAGGTTTATAACTTATATAATTTTGATAAATAACTATATGATACCACTAATTTGAAATAGAAGAAAGCTTTCAAATGCTCCAAACCAACTGAATTTGGTATTCTTCTCATGTTATAAGGCAGGGGAAAAAAGATCTATTTTTAAACCAGACACTATCAAGAATACTCCTATCAAATTTACTTGGATTATTTCTAAATAAAACATTCCATTAACAAGAGGTTAGTTTCAAAATATTAACATCAATGAATGTTAATCACACATCTAAACAATGAATGACAAGGCAACACTCAGTTACCTGAGAAAATTACAATGAAAAGTGATAAAATTACAATGAAAGTGATAAAATCAAAACCAACTTCTAACACCTTTCCAAATATCCATGATTAAATAGTTTCCACAGAAGTGCAAGAACTGTAGGATCAGTGGTTTTACATTAGGTGGCCAGCTCCCAGATTTAGCAGCCAATCTCCCAAATGTCAGTCCAATGACATTTGTGTTTCTAGTCTTGAGATTTGACTTCCTGGCTCCAAGTGCCTTGTGTTGTTTATTTGCTTTCCCCTAATGTGTATTATGCCCAGCCATGAAAATTTCTTGGCTGTAACAAAACCAAGGAAAATACAATAGTTTTCTTGGCTAAAGAAGACAGATCTTGTCATCCAGAGGCACATTTAGGTGCAAGCATAATGTACCTTCCACCTCATAGTACACTCCAGTTATAGCTATTTCACAAGAGAGGTGAAAGAACAAGATGCTGGGATGCACATCAACAAGTCTGTAACTATAAGGAAAAAAACACAGGAGCAAGATAGAAAAGATACTACAATTCATGTAACATTCTATCACAAGAATTCACAGCAATTTCATTGACAATATAGTACAGCACTAAATTTTCTGTTATCTCTAAACACAGGCAAAAACTACACTGGACACTCACATAACACACCATCACTAAAAGAAAAAGACAATGATATAAGAATAGATAATTGCATAATCTCTTTCTATTTTTAAGTATGATTTAAGCTGGTATGTCCACCAATCGCTGAAGGCATTTTCTAAATTCATCTTTCTCACCATCTTCAGCATTTCCCCCACCCATAGCCATCTAGACATTGCCTTAGCCTGAGCACTGTCTATGAAATTCAAGGGTTAATGGACTTGGCTATCTAAACAGGGACTGAAAGCATTGTCTCTGCCTGATTTCATCACTGCTCACAACAGTTGTGCAACCTTGGGCAATTCGCTTAGCCTGTCTAAGTCTCACTTCTTAACAGTTATGACAAAAACAATTCTTATACCTCATGAGTTTGGATTTAAAGATTAAATTCAACAGTACATGCCAAAGTGCTGAGAGCAGCATTGGCACATAAGCACTCATCATAAGGTTAGCCATCTCTTCAAAGTTTAAAAAAAATTCATAGCTTTTTCTTGTTTTGTTTTGCTACAATTACATTTTAAGAACTACTTTATAATAACTTACATTCTTGTAACACATGAAATAAGCTAGTATACACTCTAAAATATTGACTTAAGAGCAAGCCTTCCCCCAGCAGTTAACATCATACATGTCACAGAAAGTGTGCATAGTATGCTACCACCTCAATAAAGTATTGCTTTTTAATCACCAAAATGTATACCCGGCAAACAGTCTTTTAACCCTAGGGATGATCCCCTAAAACTGTTAAAGTCATTTGTATAAAGTGCTTTAAAGAATGTAGGACAGGTAAGTGATTTACCGCCATAAAATGTTTTCTTCCCGGTCTTGATTTCAGAAGTAGCCAAATGACTTTAACATATTTATTTCCCCCATTGCCTTGTCACTGTCATCAAAACCCCTTCAAAAGGCATTACAAAATGGACAGTAATGGCCTCGCAAATTCAGCTGTGCCTTGGAACCCTGAGGTTCCTCTCCCTTCAGAAAAAAAACATCGCAACCACAGGATTGAGTCTAAAAGCTAGCAAAAAAAGTTACTGTCACTCTAAACCACTTACCTCCTTCAAATCAATGCCTCTACCTCTACTCAGATGTTTGTGTTTGAGAAGTTCCTATTACTATTTTAATCCTTCCCTTTTTAAAATATGAACTTCTCATCCAAGACTCCTAGGGCTACTAGGTTTTTTTTGATTTGTAATCCATACCCTCATGACGCACAAGACTTAAAGGACACAGAACTGCAGAATATGCTGAAAAATGGTTCTCTTCTTGCCAAACCACTGACATTAGCTATGGGCAAGGGAGTGGTGGGAGAGGGAGCACAGATCTTTTCGAACAGACCACTTCCTCTCTTACAAAATTGGGAACATTATGAACTACTGAAAAAAGTTTTAAATCTCTTAGGGTGTTTGGAACCCTCTTTCATTAAACACTTTTGTTACATACAGATATATCCACACAGATACATGTACAGAGAAATTAAATAATTTGAAAACAAAAGCAGATAAACACACTTCCAAAATGCTAAAGATTTTTTTGTTTTGTTGAGAGAAACTAATTAACAACTCAGCTAAAGACCACAAGACTCTTCTCCAGACAGATGAAAAACAAACAAACAAAAAAATCACATGCACAATTTATAGAACTGGAACTAGCAGGTTTGCTGAGTCAAGTAACTTGAAAAAAAAAACTGCCTTGGGAAATTTGATCATTTTCAGGTTTTAGGCAGTGACTTCAACAGTCAAGAATTCCTTTTTTTCACTGAACAAGACGTGAGACACAAACAAGAACTATGATTGGTACATAGTCATTAAAGAATTTAACTGCAAAGTGCAAGTTGGTGGTCTAACATCTTAAAAGTCTGCTAGCAAATGTCACTGAATTAATTTTTCATTTAGTAACAGGCAAGCCTGGAATGAGAAAGGTTAGAAGGTAACTTATTCCATCAACAGTAACTCCTGCAATGATCCTAGGACTTTATTCCCACATCAAACAGACTGAAGGAAAAGCCTAACAATGTTGTATATTTAGGACCAACCATGCTGATGAAGAGCTTCTATGTCCCCACCAAGGCTGGGGTCATTCCACTTCACTCTGTGCTTCTTCCCTGCTACCTGGAAGCTCCAGACCTCACACATGTAGGTCTCTTGCTATAGTTGGAACAGCCACCCATCCCAGGGCAGAGTTAACTAGATGGACTTGAGGGGAATGTACAAATGAGATTGAGAAATGTGAGAATGGAAGAAAATGGGAATCTGGGATACAAACTGTCGTTAAAAACTGCCTTAAAGGTGGGTCACTATTACAAATAATTACACCACAATTCTAGACATTTTTAAAAATTTATTTATTTACTTATACAAGCACTGGTATAGTCAGAAGTGTGGGAGGGTGAGAGAATTCACCAGAGCCAGAGCGGGGAACAGAACAGGCAGACTGATGAAATACACTGCTGAGGGGAGCAGCAGGAGAGGTCTGCGCGCCATGTGGGACCCTCTCCCGGCAGCCGGGGATTGAACCGGCGCTGTAGAGGCTGCGGGCAGCTTCGCAACCCAGCACTCAAAGGCTGCGCCACCGGGAGGCCCCAATTCTAGACAGTTTTAAATGGTATTTTTATATGTTGAATACTTGCCAATAGGTCAACAAGTAGTGAGTGCAATTTTATTATTGCATTTGTTTATAAATTGATACCCGTATATCAAAGTGGCTCCCTTCAACCATAGCTCTTAGCAGCAACTCTTATTTTATTCACTTAAATATTATCTTGTTCAAAAAGGACATAAGGCATCTGAAATCAGCGTAAGAATAAGAAAAATAAAGCAAAGGCAAAATGATGATGTTATAAGATCCAATAAACCCAATAAATGTGACCCTTGAATCTTTCTAAATTGTCAGAGATTCTTTCTGTCAGGTAGTCATAAGGATAAGGCAACAGCTAGTAGACAAGTGATAATTATGGAGAAAGTTATTTTCAGAACAAATGGTCTAAATGAAAATGCACTTGTGCTTTTGTTACTGGTCTAAGACTGAATACAAAATGAATTCTGCTAAATCTTGTGTCTAATGATGAGTCTCCAATCATGGTAATTTAAGACACATAGCTAAGAGACTATGGAGGCACTTTGGAGAAACTTGGCATTAAAAAAAAAAATTCAACAGTCCCTCATTAATCCCAAAAGAGAAGTAAAAGGAATATAAAAATATTGAGACACAGGCCTTAATCTCAAAAAAGCTTAAAATCTAGTGACAGTGGTCCTCAAACTTTACAAATCTGCATATCAGAATCACCTGGAAGGTTTCGTAAAATTTAGATAGCTAAATTTCACTTCCTAGAGAATTAAAAGATTTGGGGCCAGTCCCAATTATTAGCATTTCTATTAAGTTCTCAGGTTGTGCTGATGCTGGTGACCAGCAACAATATTTTGATAACCTCTGACTTAGTGGGTTGAAAGGTCATAAGCACCTACACTCAACTAGCATCATACCCAGTAGGTCAAGACTGAATTTTCAACCTAACCACAGAAACAAGACAAGGATACCCACTTAACAATGCACTGGAAGTTCTAGCCAGAATCACCAGATAAAAAAGTAGAAAAGGCATTCAAATTGGACAGGAAAAGTAAAACTATTTGCAGATGACATAATTTTCTATATAGAAAT